ATATATATATATATGATTAAAACAGAGATGGTCCACGTGTACTTTGTATAATGTAGATTTAATAGGCTGAATAATATTATCAAACTTATCGCCAATATTATTTATAATTTTGTTGTCTTTATGTTGTGGTGTCCTCCCTCCAAAGAGTTTATGTTGGACTCTTCCGCCCACTATACGATTAATAGGAGAGAAGGCCTTGGGGGAACTGTCGCATAGATTGTTCAGCTGTCGAACTCTCTGCAGAGGCAGAGAGGAACTCGGACGAAGCTTTGCCGCAGGGCAAAGTTTCATCCGGGGAAGTAGACAGTTCCTGAACCCGTCTAGGCGGGCTCAAATGGAATATTTTTGGGCGAGCCTACGGGCTCGGAGAAACCCACGTTAAACTCGGTCTTGTGCTACATACATTCCTTGTGGAGGGACTGTTAAATATAACAGTCGCATAGATTGTTCAACTGTCCAACTCTTTGTCTCGACAGAGAGGAACTCGGACGAAGCTTTGCCGAAGGGCAAAGTTTTGTCCGGGGAGGTAGACTGGCCCCGAACAGGTTCAAAAGGAATATTTTTGGCCGAGCCTACGGGCTCGGAGAACCCTCAGTAAACTCGGCCTTGTGCCACATACAAAAGTAGCACTGACTGTTCGGTCAATGAATGTTGAATGTTTCCTTATTAGGAAACAGTTAATATTATCGTTACTATTCTTATATTTTTCAACTACTTTTTAATTTCTTTTTTTTCTTTCTTTCAGCGTTCAACCCCGAGGAAGTACCAGGTTCGTTGAAGTTTTTTTATAATTTTTTTTTAAAGGATAATTTAAAATCTGTGCTGACATAGATGACCATATCCAGATTTATTTATTATTAGATGAACTTTCAACTCATATTTCCTTCATCTTAAATTCTGTTGCATTTTATCGCAGCGTATCATGCTTTTGATCGATGACTTAATAAAGAGCATGTATTGGATATAAATAATACGTTAGAATAAATTAAATTAAGAAGAAAGAAATAAGCAATGAAAATTAATAATAATTGACAAAACTTCATCCAATAATAAAATTCAAGATTATATTATTACTAATTATATTTGTACTGGAAATAAAGAAAGTGAAATTAACATGAAAGACGTATGACCCAAAAAGAAATAATTGATGACAATACTTTTATCTAATAACAAAATTCAAGATAGTATTACTACGACTAATAATACTATGATAAGTATCACAGGCTATCTCCTGACAAAATCTGTTTCCGGCTATTTATCTATATTGGTCTTGGGTAAAGATTCAAAGAAAATGCAGAGAGTTAATATATACAAGATAAGTTTTTATATAACACAATATATATATATATATATATATATATATATATATATATATATATATATATATATATATATATATATATATATATATATATCAAATTCAAATGTAAATATCCTGGTACACACGAGAGAGAAATCTGGAAAACGTGTATATACATATGTAAAAAACTCTTTTACTTGTCCTAACCACGTCTTATCTCCATTTATCTTTTTGTCACTTTCACTTTTTTTTTGTTTTGTTAACTGTCAGGCCGCCATAACAAATGTTTCTTAGGAGAAGTAGGAATATTCACATTTAGATATTTGTAATTTTGCATGATTAACAGAAAAACATGATCTGGTATATTTTACATGATGCAATAAGCCATATTTTTTTTAATTTCTACCCAAATCTAACAGTGTTGTCTTGTATTTTTGATCTAGGTCTTTTTCAAGGAGACATTCGTCTCGACGGATTTGATCCTTATGTAAGTAGCAAGAAACTTTATCATTCATATGAAACTTAATCTTTTGGTTATGTTTTAATCCAATAAATACAACAGACATTTTTCATTTTCTGTTAATACAATAAGATCTATAAATATGACTGTTTCACTCTGAATTTAGCAGTTTGTATGAAATGTAAGATATTCCTTGACACTAAATGGTTTATAACATTGAATAGGATTTTAACTCTTCTCGAAGCTTTTTGTTTTCTCGTAGGAACCAAAAAAGAACACAATTGATTTTTACGGGCATTTACACGCTTTTTGTTATTCACCGGAAAACACCATTGAAGCTGGAAACAAACATTACAATTTTTAATCAAAGTCCTTAGATTTCCTACAAAATAAGCTTGGACTCATATACATTATTATTAATTAGCTTATTTGCATTAAACTACGGAACAATGATGATAATAATAAACCGTACAGAGCCAATAGCAAATCATTTATTAAGCTATTAATTCATTATTACATGAATTAATAAATCATTTATTAAGCCATTAATTCATTATTACATGAATTAATTAAGCCAATAATAAATCATTTATTAAGCCATTAATACATGAATTCATTAAGCCAATAATAAATCATTTATTAAGCCATTAATTCATTATTACATGAATTAATTAAGCCAATAATAAATCATTTATTAAGACATTAAATCATTATTACATGAATTCATTAAGCCAATAATAAATCATTTATTAAGCCATTAATTCATTATTACATGAAATCATTAAGCCAATAGCAAATCATTTATTAAGCCATTAATTCATTATTACATGAATTAATTAAGCCAATAATAAATCATTTATTAAGCCATTAAATCATTATTACATGAATTCATTAAGCCAATAATAAATCATTTATTAAGCCATTAAATCATTAATACATGAATTCATTGAGCCAATAATAAATCATTTATTAAGCCATTAATTCATTATTACATGAATTAATTAAGCCAATAATAAATCATTTATTAAGACATTAAATCATTATTACCTGAATTCATTAAGCCAATAATAAATCATTTATTAAGCCATTAATTCATTATTACATTAATTAATTAAGCCAATAATAAATCATTTATTAAGCCATTAAATCATTAATACATGAATTCATTAAGCCAATAATAAATCATTTATTAAGCCATTAATTCATTATTACATGAATTAATTAAACCAATAATAAATCATTTATTAAGACATTAAATCATTATTACATGAATTCATTAAGCCAATAATAAATCATTTATTAAGCCATTAATTCATTATTACATGAAATCATTAAGCCAATAGCAAATCATTTATTAAGCCATTAATTCATTATTACATGAATTCATTAAGCTAATAATAAATCATTTATTAAGCCATTAAATCATTATTACATGAATTCATTAAGCCAATAATAAATCATTTATTAAGCCATTAATTCATTATTACATGAATTAATTAAGCCAATAATAAATCATTTATTAAGCCATTAAATCATTAATACATGAATTCATTGAGCCAATAATAAATCATTTATTAAGCCATTAATTCATTATTACATGAATTAATTAAGCCAATAAAAAATCATTTATTAAGCCATTAAATCATTATTACATGAATTAATTAATTCATTAAGCCAATAATAAATCATACACATATAGCGAAATACAGTTTGCATCTTTTTGGCTAGAAATCCAGAAATGTTACAAGTCTTTGTGTTCAACTGATCTTCCTTGGGATGAAGTCTGTAATGTTATCAGTCCTGATCTCGGCTTCAGTCACTTTCTCACCGACGTGACGTGTCTTTCCTGCAAATATTTTAATGGCAATTGCTCTAATGAGCTTTCCACCTTGTCTCGGCTACATGAATTTAAACATGTTACGAGATTATCAACTAGGTCTCGCCGTTTTACTGTTGAACTAAGTCGCTGCAACCGTCAGTTCTATTCTAATAATTTCCTTTCTCACACTTCTTGCCTATCGATTTCACGCTACTCTGTCAACTATAATCTTCAGAAATGTAAATGCACTGTCAATCGCCACTTTCTAACGAGGGGAGAAGAGGATTCATACTCTTCCCAAGCACGTAAGTGAATGTAATAGATTCGACTGGAATTCGAACTTGGCTCTCCGATTTTTCAATCTGAGCCGCTATCCAATACCACACCGTGCCTCCTATTAGCGTGGTTGGATGGAATCGAGGAGGGACATTCATGTGTGTTAGTGCTATATTCTGAGGTGTTCGTATGTCTAGTAAGTCTATCATCCAGGCGAGTGATTGATGATTCCCCATTATAAGTAGACCATCGCAGAGATGACAGGTGGGTCTGTCGGAGGGTACATCGTACTGTAAGTACAGTTGTGACAGGAGAAACGAATAACGAACAATGCGAAGTAACCGGTGTGAAGGGAAGAAAAGTCCAATCTGGAATTGTATCCCAAACCAGAATTGCTAATTTATTTTGACCACAAGGTTAAAACCCCAAAATAATATATACTCACTCTGTTGAATGGGTAAATATGCAGCTATATATAAGAAATGGGCAATACGGTATCACTAAAACACTCTACTTCTGTCGAATGCATCGGAAAGTTGTAAACAACCTGTGGCTTTCCTCGTGGCGCTTAACGAACAAATGGCAGTTGATTAAAAAAGTACTAAACTATGGGGACTACTGGACCATGGGGTTGCCGGACCATATAAGTGCTATGATTAAAGACGTCGAACTGTACTATTAATAAATGTCTGCTTATTGTTTCTCCTGAGAGTAGAGTGTTCTTAAGCGCAAATTGAAGTGTTCTTTTTTATTCCCAATTCTATGAACATTTTGACCGAATAAATTCCTTTTTGATTTCACTAATAATAATTGTTTTACTGAAGTTATAAGTATTTATTTGTTTCGTATATTTAAGTGATACAAATAATGATAATACTCATGATTTTGAGTTTCTTTTTAATGTTATAAAGAGAAATATTGTTTTTTTTGGTGTAGGGGTGATGTCGGTAAATATTTCCCCGAAATGGACAGTGGTCAGTGTGTTTGGTGTTTGAGAGGAATTCAAAGCCAGTCTTTTTTTTTCAAATAGAAAATTTCAAGACAGTTGGGCAGATCTACCCATTTAGAAAATTGATCTTTACACTTTAACCTTTTTATGAACTAAGCTAAACTTAGTGAAAAATAGTTTTCTTCTCCTAACACAGAACGCAGTTGGTAACCTCAAGAGACGGTGGCCTTCAACTACAATACCAATTAATATTCATTCTTATTTTGGTAAGTATGACAAAAGCACTTTCTTATATTCACATAAAATGAATTTAGATAACAAGATAAACTATCTAAAATTAGTTTAAATTTTGAATAAAGATTAGAAAAGCACAATGAAATGAGTTAATTTAAAAATTTATGATGTTAATGGTGATGATGTTAATAATAATAATAATAATAATAATAATAATAATACACTATTTACATTGTTCTGACTATCGTCCTCATCTTTGTTGCCATATTTATCACAACATTACGGCCGTTGTACGCTCCGGCCCTCTTTGGGCGATTGGAATGGCGAACTGAACCATTTATTTCGCTTGCTGGGGCAGAAAGTTCCAGCTCCACAAGATCCACGGCTATAGAAAACCCGTAAAAATCTCCCTGTTGCATTGTGGGATAACTATAATGTATAATTTTTCCCATATATCAAGGATATAGGATACAAATCCTATATCATTCCAACAAGTGACTAAAAAACACAAAGTAGATTTGCACACCCGCAAAATCGGATCAAAATGATTAAAAACAGATTTCGCAATAAGGTGTGAAATTAATTTTCTGACCAATGAAAGGAGGCGATTTGCTACCCCCCCCAAAAGGTAACGAGCCAGTGTGAAAAAAAAGTCAACAATAAATACAGAGTTTCAAGTCAGTCGCCGAGTCAGAAGGGCGCAAAGATCACAGAAGATTGACAGTAAATTCTATCGCTGACTCAACCCGACACAAAGAGCCGAAAGTGGATTAGGAAAGGACAACAACAACAGCAACCACAACAACACATTTACAACTGACTCCAAAACAATTCATAAGTACATTTTCCTTTTATCTTTATTCCTCATTCACACTCTCTTTTTCAACTTAAATTGATCGCCCCTTTTTCATTTGCAACTATACAAAAACAAAAGAAACACACTACTCTGCTACTCTGTTGAAAGACAGCGAACACAGACATTTTTGTAAAAATCACAATTTTGCTTAAACGAACTAAAGCATTAATCTTTTTTACCCTATCCACAAGATAATAAATATACAATGTTCTATTTTCTATAAACGTTCCTTATCGTGTTGTTCATTCTTGAAATTTGCGTTGTATTTTGTGGGCAGGGTATCCCGTATTAAATTCTCCTTTAATCCGGGTACGCTGAAACCCACAAGGATACAATTTTAAGGGAAAGAAGTATGACAAAGTGGAAAAAGGTTTTCGTGTGAAGAGTTTCGTATTTTGGGATTTCATCGGATAAGTTTAGAATGTTGTAAAAACCTGGACGCAAATTTACTGTTGATGATCTCTAGCGATTAAATCACTTTTTGAACATTTTCGCCTTAGTGAATTGTTTTTTGTCTTTTAATTAGGTTAGCATTTTTTATGTCAAAATTCTGGTCAGTCTCGTTACGGTGAGAAACTAATGCGTTTAATAGGTTGTTTTTTAAAATGTCCCTTTTGTGTTCATATAATCTTTTATTTAAACTTCTTGATGTTTCTCCAATATATTCTTTGTAGCAATCCTTGGGGGTGATAGAGTAAATTTCTCCTTCAAGTTTTAGCTCCTTGCTTTGTGATAACAGAAGAACTATCAAATATGGTGAAACGTTGTAAGAATCTGGACGCAAATTTACTGTGGATGATCTAGCGATTAAATCACTTTCTAAATGTTTTCGACTTAGTGAATTATTTTCTCTTTTAATTAGGGTAGCATTTTTTATGTCAAAATTGTGGTCAGTCTCGTTATGGTGAGCAACTAATGCGTTTAATGTGTTCTTTTGTGAAATATCCCTTTTGTAGTAATTATATATTTTCATGATTTCTGGTGAAAGTTTAAATATAAATTGTCCAATATCTGATTAATATTTGTGACCGTTAGAATAATAATAATAATAATAATAATAATAATAATAATCGATACTAAGTATGACCAGTTCGATTAGGTCAAATTGACGGTTGATCTCGCAAACGGCCTTTAGTCTGTTGTTAACTGGGACAAAGAATGGCTTGTTAATTTTAACACCTCTAAAACTAAATTGCGCTCTATTAATTATCTGATTGACTCCTTTCTACCTTCCACCAGTATGACTAATACTAACCCCCAGGAGAGAAACTCGTTACACCTTCTCGGGTTAACATTCTCGGCCGACATGAAGTAGAAATACCATATTGAATCCATTGCTAGGTCAGCTGCTAAGAAAGTTGGTTCATTGTGTCGTGTTAAATTTTTCTCTCCAGAATCTATCATGCATATCTATAAGTCTACCATTCGTCCATGCTTAGAATATTGCTGCCACATTTGGAGAATCAGCAAATCTCGGTTTCAGTTACTTTTCCACAGCCATAAAGTTGCTTCCCTGTGCCTTTTCTATAAATACTTTCATGGTAATTGTTCAGATGAGCTCTTTGCTGTGGCACCTAGACTTTATGAATTTAAGCACAGTACTAAACTGGCAACGAAGATACTGAAAATAAAACAACCTCAGATCACACATATTTTACGTAAATAAATGTGAACTGTACTTGTGTGAACATTCTTTTGTATTTCTTTAAGGCATGTACTACAATGAATCCCTTCAATGTGTTTACCTGAACCTTTTCCAATCAAACTGAGGGATCCAATCACAACAGGAATTATTGATATCCTCATGTGCCATATTTTTTAGATTTCCACTTCATGATCCTTGTATTTGATTATTTTTTTAAAGATCTTCAAAGATACATTATAGTCAATAAGAAAGCACATTTTGTTTTTGTGGTCTTCGATCGCGATGTCTGGCTGATTAGTTTTGATTGTTCTGCCTGTGTGTCTTGTAAAATCCAATAAAATTGTTATGCATCCTCTGTCTGTAACCAGTTTTCTGCAGTTTAGTTTAAATTCAGGTGGTTGGAATATCGAACTGAACCCTTTATCCCGCTCGCTGGTGTAGACTGTTCCAGTTCCACATGCCATGTCTAATGGATGTCAGTTATCAGTTATCTCCTGTTAATTCCCCTCTCCAAGTTCTCTGTTGCCTTAACAAGGTATTGAATTCACAACTACTTTGGGTCCTGTTACTGGATCTAACGCTTTTATCCACTAACGCTTTTATCCACTGTGCCATGTTTCCTGGAGGACATATGTGCTGGAATTTCTGGGTATTATAAACCTAATGTCTTCAGCAACAATTTTTTTACCATTACTCATATTGCAATTTTTGCTGTTATCAATACATGTTTTTTACCAGAACTCATATTGCAATTTTCATTGTTATTATTGCTTTTCTCAGGCACTCCTGATTACTGGTTCCCATACTGTATTCATTTCTATACTTGGTCAGGAGATTCTTGTGCTGATTCCTTAAGTTTACGAATTTTCCAATGATGTTCATTGTCTATGAGTAGACAATAGAAATCAAAGGAAATGGTATGACATCCGTCGGTCTAGAGACACTATGCATTTGTGGCGCTAAAAGTTATGCGCCTCGGTTGCTGATGGCGGCGCAGCATCTGTTGTGGTTGTACAGGCCCACAAGCTGGAGAGGCGATTTACATCGAGGGATGGAGCTAGTCTCGATTGCAACGAATGCATGTGAATATGCTCTCTCCCGATGTCGCAGTGTTGTTTTTTTTCCGTCGAGCACGCTTCCATACGACAGCAAGCCTCCATTTCTTCTCCCTTTGCTCCAACCCACGGCGTAAATTGCGTCTCCAGCATTAGCGATCGTTGGTGACATCTTTCCACCTCTCGATATCCATGTCCATCGCCCTCATGTCCGAAGATGAGCTCGCCCTCGTGCCTTACTGGTGGCCAATTCCATTTACAAATGACCCGTTCGGAATCCTCCCACCGATACACTGTTGCCTTTTTTTTTTTGCTGTCACGTTGAGGCGACACTGGAGTTTCCTCTCCAGGGTGCAGGGTTAGGGTTAGGACTTTATGAGAGAACGGCGTTTCAGTACGTCACCCCTCTTCACGCTGTCCTCAGTTTTCCTCTCGAAGCCTTTCCCATGATTGGGTATAGTCGGTCGCAATACAGCGAAGGTTTAAATTCAGAGTTTTTTTTCTCTTAAATGAAATAATAATAATAATAATAATAATGTTGATGATTATGATGTGCAAATGATTATGTGATTATACAAAACAATGGTGCCTACACTAACATGGATCTGTCTACGATAATGAAAAAAGTGAAATCCTCTGAGGCATTGAAATTCAAATAAATCACCACACCGAGGGCCGGGGACTGGATCTGGTCATGGACAAGGAGAAAAAAATGTCAGGTGCTAAATTTCGCTGCTCCACACAACAATGTGGTTAAATTCACAAGAAACGAAAAAAAAAAAAGAAAAAAAAAAAAAAAAAAAAAAAAAAAAACAGAAAGAAATGTGGAACATGAAGGTGACAGTAGTACCAATCGTGGTTGGAGGACTGGGAACTGTCCTAAAGTGACTAGGAAAAAAACTGTAGGAATTGGAAATCAGGGCTAGGTAAACATCTCAGCAAAAAAATTTGGCAAACTTTCAGAATATAAAAACCTGGAAATAGAAATTACATGTAAATGACATTTAAACACAACCACGATTCCATTAATAATATGAGCACTAGGAATGATTAAAAAGTCCTTACACATACAGTAAGGAAATCCATGAAAAGTCTTCAGTATTTGGATCCAAAAGATTGTGTACATTTAGCACCGCTCCCATACTCAGAAATGTAACTCACTCTTGTAGTTCTTATTTTCTTTAAGACTTCCTAATTACTCACAGATTCTGTTCATGATAATGTAAGTTAGTAAAACCACGTCTCTGTTGCTTTCTTTATTTAAACATTTCTGTAGATCGTTTTGCGCCAGGGCTACAGATAGGGGGGCATCTCATTAGAAGGCACACTTGTTTCTTTTTTTTCTTTTAGGTTTGACTCAATTCTTAATTCTTTTCTTTCGACTGTTCTCGATATTCTACTCGTTTTTCTAATTCCTTTTTGAGCGCTCATGAGCAAGATCTTTATGGCTTTACCAAGGTCACCCATATTAAAAAAACAAAAAAAAAACAAAAACAAATAAACAACAACAAAAAATTTCAGGTAGAGAAAAACTGCACAGATAGATAGTTTCTCGTTTGAGTACCTGAAAAAAGAGGTCCTTTTCGGTGTTGTGAACAAAATATTCTTAAAAGACGAAATGGGGGGGGGGGACAAAAACAAAACGACCATGCAAAATGCCAGCCAGTTAAAGTGTAAGTTCAATACACATGCAAAAAAAAAAGAAGATAAATAAAAATAAAAAATGAAGAAAAAAATAAACTCAAAACAAGTAAACGCTGCCTATGTCGTACATACACATCTGCCCTGATTTTTTTTTTTAATATTGAGATCAAGTGGCTCCCAGGAATTTTCATTTGAAAGAATCGGAATTCACGAGAATTGGCTAAAAATTTCTTTGGTTTTTGAATTTCTTCTCAGCCCTCTTTTGCCTCAAATCCGTAGTTCAAAAGACGGTTGGCCTTCAGAAATTTCTCATTTGTTTCTTGACTTCTGGTTCGATCTCTTTACTCCATTCTTTCGGATGGCATACTTGTTCTCATGAATGCATATAACAACAATTTTGAATGTGAATGAATCAATAAGCTCAATTTCTCATTTAACTTGTTTTTCTGCCCTTCGTTTTACAAACATCATCTGTGCTGTGTCGAAATGCTTACAAGAAATTTTTAAGGTCTCAACAAGTGAGAACAAAACCCGATGAGCACGTTTGTTTCGTCATCGTGATTTTACCAAAACATTTACGATTTTGCAAGTGTTACTGTATGAGCGTCTATTTGAACTAAAATAAGTGGTAAACAAAGTTTACATATGTAAATGACGGGTCGTCGATGCTAGCAGAGGTGAAAGGAAATTGAATAAATTTCAACAAGGTGATATTTTCATGTTTTTCTTTTTAATAAATGACTAATAAAGGATTAACAAGAAATAAAATATACTTATATGCATGCAAAAATCTCTAAAAAGAAAGAAGACGTTAAAATCTTGCTGTTAGGAATTGTGTGCATCTGTACGTGTGAAAGTTCAGTCACTCAAAGAAAAGCTATCACCAAATCGGGAATAAATCCCGTGATGGTGTTACTACTATCGCGTACTAAAAGAAAAGAAAGAAAAATAGGAAGAAACAGGAAGTGTCCTGTTTTCATAGTTGTTTAACAGCGTCTTGGCAAACCTGACAAAACCAAGTGCGGGTAATCCCATACAAACATGAATTAATAGAAATTTAAGTATTAAGTAAAACATTCAAAAAAAAAAAAAAAAAAAGAATTAAAATAGAAATTCATTAAAAATGATTTGAATTGTTTGCTTAAAGAATATAAACTTTTTACTTTACAGATAAGTATGACAAGGAATTATTTCTTGAATGCATGCGTGAAATCGAGGACCAAACGCGCGTTGACGGACAGGACTGTATTACTTTCGTTAACCAAACGAATGAAAAGGCATATATTTATATAACTACAGGATATGGGTAAGAATCAGTCATTTAACTATGCAATTAATTTTACTGAAAGATGGTTTTGTTAAACTGCAACGAGTGGATTTTTTAATGAATAAACGCAGTTTATTGTAAAAAAAAAAAATTAGATGCAGTCAAATTTGGACGAAGCACATTTTTTATGAAGGAATTCACAGAATCAGTTGTAGGCATTCATAAAGTGATTCGTTTTCTTCAGGTCAAATTTACTTCAGTTCTAAGTGGTCCTGACTGTCAAGTAAGGATCTGAAATTGAAATCGGCGATCCGATTTCGAATTCCGCTCGAAGTCGTTAAATGCACTTTTAAAAAATACCCTTGTGAAAAGTATGAAAATGTCTTTTCTCCTCCCAGCTATGGCTTAAATACCAGGCAGACGGTGCTCTCTAGCCGTAATTGGTATCTAGCTTTGGGGGAGGACATCTTTGAATTCAACACTGTATGTAGCAATGGCAAAGCGCATACATCTATTGAAAACATTATGGCTTTCACACGTGCGAGATGGGGGTCTATGATTTGATTGATTTGTTTTTTTTACGACTTATTGACATTTTAAAGTTTATTTAAAGCCAGAAATATTTTTAGATAGCAATATTTTTTTTTGAGATAATAATGATCTTTACTGATACAAGTTCTACTAATTAACCCATATCTGGGGAGAGAAGAGGTGGATTCATATCTTTCTCAAGGGTATTTGCGGGTAAGTGATCCTCTAAGATAATATTAAAAATATTGTCTATTTTTTCAAGATAGTCAACAAATTTTAATTGAACTATATATTCATAAAAAAAAACTTAATTTTTTTAAAAGTTGTAATTTGTTTTGTAAAGGTTTTTCTTTATGAATGTAGGGTTTAATTTGTTGATTATCTTGAAAAAAATGAAACATTTTTTAAAAAAATATTGTGTTTGGGGTGCATTTACTTTTGCTCAGCACTGTAATTCCTTTTGTTGATAATATGCATTAATTGTTTGTTTTAAATTTCATGTTTTGTTTTCCACTTATTTTTACCCGGACTCACATGAGTCCGCCAATATTGTTTACGGGACAAATGTTCCAGGAGCCCGTAAATATTTACTATAAATCGTCCATACCTCGCAGAAAAAGATGTGATTCCAGCAACATACTCTATCGATGATCTCGATTGATATCGAATAATAATAATAAAAAAATCAACATATTGCGCAGATAACCTTTACGCTACCCGCACATCTAATTTTTACATTTCCAGATTTTTTTAACATTTCCAGATTTTTTTTTACCTTTCCAGATTTTACATTACCATATTTTTACATTTCCAGATTTTTAAGAGATGACGTTGGGTAGCTGTTATTTTCTTAAGCGGTAAAATGTGAAGGGATAAAATATAAATATTTTAAATATTTTCTTTCGTTCAGCTGTGAAAGTAATGTTGGTTTTACTGGGAAGCCACAACCATTGAAACTTGGTCCATTATGTCGCTTCAAAGGAACTGTGATTCATGAAATGCTACACTGCCTAGGATTTTTCCACGAGCAAAATCGACCAGACAGGGACGATTATGTCAAGATAATAAAAGCGAATATTAAAAAAGGCAAGTCGTCATTTCTTCTCATTATTATATTTTGCACTGATCTACCCAAATGTTACGGTCTGCAACATGTTTCAAGAGTGACAGAATATGTTCTGGATTTTTCTAATATCTTCCCTAAATATGTCATGGTAACCTAGCAGTTCAAACAGATAGAGAAACCCAAGATAATCACGGTGTATCTTTTAAGGTTTTAATTAATGACTCTAATTAAAAAGGGACTTAAACGTACGAAGAGCGAGAAAGAGTAACAGACATGCTTATGCTTTCTTTGTATTTTCAGGACATGAACATAATTTTTTGAAGGTGTTACCGCCAGTGATACAGACTCAGGGTCTTCCGTATGATTACAATTCTTTGACTCATTATGGTCGAACAAGTTTCTCTGTTGATGGTAAAAAACCAACCATTATTCCATTGAAGAAAGGAGTGACCATTGGTCAGCGTAAAGGCATGAGTCAATTGGACATCATCCAAGTACAAAGGTTTTACGGATGCAAAGAACGGAAACTAATTAAGATGCAACCTCGTGAGTTTCATGAAAGAAAATTATATTTATTTTAGATATTCGTTAATTTATTAGATTTGTCTCTGAAAATGAATAATTTGTAGAAACATGACATTTTTAATTTTAGGGGATTTTTCCCCCCGGGTCACTTTATATATCATCTGCGGAAATATTAAAAAATTTTGTATGACAAAATCTATATAGATTTTTGGACGCATAAAAGCTATCCTCCTCCTCCTCCCCCTCCTCCTCCCCTCCAAATCCTCCTTCTCCTCTAAATCCTTCTCCTCCTCCTAAACCATCTCATACTTCATCCCCTCCTACCCAACCTCCTTCTACTCAACCTCTTTCTCTTTAACCCCATCCTCCCCCACATCATTATCATTAGAAGTAGCATCAGTAGCCAATGAAAATCTACCACTGAGTCCTAAATAATACTTGTTTTTGATCATCAATTTTATTCTTAAGAAAATAGAGTAAAATTACATTTTATTCAATTATATATTCACCATTATTTGTAATGACTTGTTGCCACTTATTAGGCAACTCGTCGACACTTTTTGAGCAATTTTGATGTGTATAACTTGAACTCTTGAATTTGGTCTTCATTCAAGAAACTTTTCCCAATCACAGCATTTTGCAGCGATTGAAAACTATAATAATCGGTTGATGCAAAGCCGGGTGGATATGGTGGGTCGGATAGAACATACCAATCGACTATTTTTTTCCTATGTTATTCTATGCGGAGAAGAAAACATTTATACAATTAACGATCACAGAGGGTGATTTTTGATCAAAGTTTTATCGCTACATTGCATCTGCTGCACGTATAAATCTTTATTTAGTGTTTCATTTCGTTTTAAGGACTATAACTGAATAATACCTCGACTATTCAATCACACACACAACATTAACTTTCTTCCATGTAGCTCAGCTTTCGGTGTTGGTTGTTGAGATTGATCCTGGCCTTTGAACATTGAATTGATTAAAACATTTTTCATCACTTGTTATGATATATTTAAGGAACAGTTAGTTGGGGTTATATTTCGTCATTACAACTATTCAACCTAACAGACAAAAGGCCATTTTCCAAGTTCTTTCCATGTTTGATGCACATCATCAGAGTGCTTAATATAGTTAATGGCGGTAATCGCATAATTGATATTTCAAATTTTATTGGATACACAGCAAAACTGTCTTCAAAATAATGATGCATCGTATACACTAGTGCGTCTTATATTCCAAAAAATACGGAATATATATATATATATGAAGAGAGAGAGAGAGAGTGTGTGTGTGTGTGTGTGTTTGTGTGTGTGTGTGTGTGTGTGTGAGAGAGAGAGAGAGAGAGAGAAAGCGAGTATGGAAATCAAAACATCCTTGATAATGCCAAATAGATTACCTGAAGGCTATTCAAAGATTTAGACAGTTCTTACAAACGCTATGCCCCAAAAGGAGATCTCTCAATGCCTTGTCAGTGATCTTCTATGAAACCTGTATAAAAAAAGGGGTTGCTACACAAATACACAATTATTAAATCAATATATATGTGGGTATGATAAAAAAAAACCATACATATACGCACATATACTTGCACGTACATATATATTTCTTTCTCACGTGTTCAATGTTATATAACAGAACTATTAAGTATGTCAGTGAGTCTTTGCACCTGAAGATTGCACGTTTGCATGAAACTCCAAGTCGTGCTCTCGGTGTTGGATATTATGTATATTCACTAATATATATATATATATATATATATATATAAAGTATGTGTGTGTGTTTGCGTGTGTGTGTATGTGTGTGAGTGTGTATGTATGTATACTGTGTATGTATATAAATATATGCAATTATTATATATATTATTTATATATTATATATGCGCGGTACTTATTGGAAAGCGCTCAATATCAATCACAGAGCTAACATATTTAGTTGAATTGATGTGAATTTGTGACCCTGGGTTTCACGCCCTTTGCGATTGTCTGCCGATTGCAAAGGGCATGAAACCCAGGGTCACAAACTCACATGAATCCAACTAATCTATCTATCTATCTATCTATCTATCTATATATATATATATATATATATATATATACACACACACACACACACACACACACACATATATATATATATATATATATATATATATATATATATATATATATATATATATATATATATATATATATATATATCGTTACATTTACTTAAGGGCATATAACCTCGGGAAAATTATGAATCCATCTCCCCTCTTCCCAGCTATGAGCTAATAGCAGGGTAGACTCGGTCCTATAGCCTTGGATTGTTTATCAGTCTAGGAAAAACACAACTCTGAAATCAAAACCTGCTCAGAGTCGCATGGAGACCTTGTGTTACACTATGTTCTGTGTATTCGTTTTTTCCGAAACGTGTAGTTGGTGCTGCCCAAGCCTTCACCACTATAATTAAATTATATGTAGTGATTGGAAGGCTGTTCATTTCAGTAATTTTTTTATTTTTGAACAAGATGTTCCCTCACACTTCTAAAACGACTTCCTGACGAGAATACAGTAGTTTGTGAGTTTACTTCTAATTTAGTGTTTGTTAATTGTAGCTTTATACCTGACAAAGATCAACTGAATTAATATACACACACCTTTATTCCTATATCTACCTTTAAAGATGTCTGTTGTTATGAAAATGATTATTTGTTTTTATTACATACTTAAATGTAGCACGGCATTTCTTGTTTATCCACGCAGCTGGCATGGTTACTCCGAATTGCACTTTTGATTCTGACCTTTGTGGTTGGACCCAAGTCGAAATTTTGCCACCTTTAAAGAATAACACATGGATACGTTGGCGAGGAGAGACTGTCAACTACCATAGTGGACCTGTAACCGATCACACAATTAAAACATTTGAAGGTAAATTTTTGGTCAATATTTTCGGGTAATTTTATTTTATTATTTGTAGATAATTATTGACTGAATGCTGAATGAAATAATTATATGGCTTTTTGTTTTCGGACCAAAATACTCATGTTGGCTGTTATACCCACAACAGTTCACTCGTTGTGTCTTATGGCCTTTTTCACGTCTCTGTCGGTAGCCTATTTGGAAATGAAAACCGAGCTCCTTATTCAATTACCTTAATTTCCCATGTATAATACTCTTCGTCCATAATACACACACCTAAAATTGTGCTGAAAGTGTGGGAAAATGCTTCTACTTATGCATAAGACGCACCCATTATTTGGTAATCAAACCCTATAAATTGTACTTCTCCAATTTAATTACGGCCAGCATTTCCTACTCTTATTTTAAAAAATGTTTTTTTAAACATAGAATAATATTATTCTAATTTAGTTTTATGATAATTCTTATTTTATATTACGGCAATCTTTTAAAGATTTATTGTAGCTGTGCATAATACGCTCCCCTGATTTTGCATATTATTTTTTAGAAAAAAATGCGTATTATACATGGGAAATTACGGTAGGTTAGCCTGGATTTATTTGCTTTCCATCCTTAGGGGAGATAACTCACATCTGTAAATTCTCTTTGTGTCAATTGTCCATTTCTTTCAGACTTCGTGGTTTAAAGCATACATGAATCCCTGGCTGTCGTGAGATCAGTTCCCAGGCTGGGGAGTACAAAAAAGTCCCTTACTGTAGTGCAGAAGACACGGACAAGGGACACAAAAGAGAAATATAAAAAACCCAAAGAGCTCTGCTATTCTGGAAATGCTTTGATTTCATTTTCTGATCAGAGCATGACGGACTTTATCAAAGCTGCTGAAATCTTTCTTCTTGTTCCTAACTGTAACAATCAATACATCAAAATGAAATGCTTGAGGCTGGTATACCTGTTTATATATCGCTGATCTCGACAAATACAGTTATGAGAAAGTAGCTATTGTCTTTACTACAGGTCACTGATCATAATGTTCAGTTAATCAGTAATCATATATATATATATATATATATATATATATATATATATATATATATATATATCTTTTCATTCAAATATATATATATATATATATATATATATATATATATATATATATCTTTTCATTCAAAAATATTTTTATTGAATAATATAGACATGCTAAGTCTATTTATTTTTATACTGATCCTTTTCCAGTTATCTAATCAGTTTCTTGATGTTGAGTTGAAATTTATCAAGGAAGGCGTCGTAGTTTTATTAACTTGGGTTAAAAAAAAGTACGACGCCTTCCTTTATGAATTTTAATTCAACATCAAGAAACTGATTAGACAACTGGAAAGGATCAGTATAAAAACAGACAATAATTTCTGCCGTCCGATGGGTCTAGATGCACAAATTAGCCGATTTCGTACAGCTTTCTGGCGCTTTTGATTTTTATCGCTGCTGTTTTTCAGTATTCCACATTGGAATAGAAATAATTTTGTTAAGAAAGGAGCCCTACTGTGCATAAGTTTACCGTGGAAAACTCAGAAATCAGTGCACTTTTTATACATTTACACTTTAATTAATTACCTTCTCTTTTAATTAAAATTGCATTCTGTAATTTGAAATTATGGGCAAAACCTATTACGACGAATGACTCATGCATTTAGTGTATTATTTTGTAAAAGATCCCCTTTGTGTTCATATATTCTTTTATTTAAATTCGTGGAAGTTCCATCAGTGTATTTCTTGTTACATATATTATAGTCTATAAGGTAAATTCCTGTTTCAAGTTTTAACTTCATATGTTTTTGCATTAAGTAACTCTCAGGACTTATTGAACAAAACATATGAAACGATTGCGAGAGATTTAGAAGTCCAACAAGAATTCATTATTGGCGGTTACAATCTTAACAGCATAAGATATGCAAATGATCCAGTGTTGATAGCAGACACAGAAAGCAAACCACAGTAAGCTCTACAGAAAGTAGTAAAATAAGAAAAAGAAAAAGGACTAAGCATTAACTATAAAGAAGGCAGAATGTATGGTTATTAGCAAAAGAAACAGACAACCGTCCATATTACAAATATACCAGAATTGAACAAGTGCAAAAATTTAAATATCTGGGAAATATTTTAACAGAGGATGTAGAATGCTAAACCGAAATCCGGAGGCGCATTTGGATAGGGAATGATGCCTTCCAAAAGATAAGCAAAGTATTAAGAAACAGGAAAAATTTATTGGAAACAGAAAAGAGTATTGGATTGTTATGCAATATCGGTACTCCTATATGGTAGTGAATGCCGGGCAATCTCTTCACAGATGAAGAAGAGACTTGAAACAACAGAAATGTGGTTCTACAGAAGACTGCTGAGAATACCATGGAGTAAACATGTGAGTAACGACAAAGTTTTAAAGATTGCAAGTAGCAAAGAATCAATAAATCGGAGAAAAGGGAGTTCCACAAGCGAGAAAAGACTCTATTAGAATAGAACATGCGGTTGCACCTAATTAGTTCAACAGTAAAACGGAGAGACATAGGCGGTAATCTAGTAACACGGTGAAATTCTTGCAGTCGAGGCACCAGAACAATTACCATGAAAATATTTGTAGAAAAGACAGAATGAAGGCATGTAACGTTGGCGAGAAAGTGAGTGAAGTCGTGATGCAAGGTCAGAATCGATTTCCAGTGATATATTTTCACTGCGTGGGACAGCTGATGGAGGTAAATAATATCATGTCACGTCGGGTTGACTCAGTAAATGGGTAAGTTATGGCAGAAAGGTATATTCTCTAATTCTATTTCCCCCATTATGGGCATTATTATAACTATAATATAATAACATCTTATTTCACGGACGGAACGGAATAGCTGAAAGGAAAAGAAATGGCAAACATGCAGAAAATTATATATACATATTTACACGTGTACACGCAGATAAAATATAACATATATATGCAACAACAAGTAGTGTGAAAAGCAAAAGAAAATAGAAGCTTACCTATTCTGTGTTTTTGGAGAAGCCTTATTTAGGATTCCAGATACGAGTGGGCTGGATTTATCTGCTATATCACTAGCGAGAAGATATTCTACAAACGCGAAACGCCGTGTTCTCTGCTTTTCCCAACATGCGAATCGTAGATATTTTCTATATCTGATGAAGATATATTTCCATAGGAAAACGGCGACATAATATTGTAAGCTGCACCATGTGACTGGGAGAGGCAGATTTAGACAAGGGGCCCGGGCTTAAAAAATAAATAAATAAATAAATAAATAGAAAGAAAAACAAGCAACTGCTTGATTTGACTCCTGGAATATAACCGAAGGGCTCCCACTTTCGTCATTACGCAGTGACGTCACTAAACGGCCGTCATGTGACCCACTTGACTTCATCTCCACCGAAGAGGGATATTCGATTTTTTTTTTATCCCTACGTTAATTTTATGAATAAAATGAGCTTTGCGACGATCATTATATATAAAATAATTAAGATTTATTTTATTTACTCTCTTCCACTTTTTGCATCACCCCCCCCCACATTCTGTGTTTGGTAAGTTTGGTGTTAGATAAATTTATCCTTTCTATTGGCTAATTATATATTGTTGTCGAAAAAGGATTTCTGGTGTTCTGGTAAGTTAGGTGTTATATAGTATATTATAGCAAGGATCTTCTATGTGCCACCTCCCTTGAAGACATAAGCGAACATGGCTCTCCACTACTCCCTATCCTGTGCGATGCTTAGCAGTTTTATTTCTTTGCTAAGGCTTTGCCCTACGTTTCGCCATTCCTTCAAAGAAGTTCGTCAGGTAAGTGCCTCGTTAACCCTCTCTTCACCCCAATATGCCCCGTGATGGTTAAGTTTTCCAAGCCCTCCTTCCACATTATGTGTCCTAGGAATTTCAGCTATCTGATTCTAATTAGACGTGTTCTTTCCGTTGCCATTTTCTTAAAGACTTCATTGTTGATTACTCCATAGAATAGTAAAGATACATTTGATATTCACCCCAAGCAAGGCGACAATGCAACTAAGACGCAAAGAGCGATTGGGAGGGAAAATGAATGAAAAGTCTTTAGAAGGAATCAGAAACCCAATCCTAAATAGGAAACAAGGGATAAACCTCTACTGTTCACCAGAAGTTCTTTTTTTAACGGAAAAATACCGTTGAACAAACATATATACCTGTGTGTAGAAATCTATATATACCGTGTATGTAAATGGTTGCGTTTTGAAACCAGTTATTCTTGCATGTTTTTTTTTTCTTTTGGTAGGATATTACATATATGTTAATGCTTTCCGCAACTATAATTCTGTGGCAAAAATCCAGTCTCCTGAAATTGCCCCAGGAACTTACTGCCTGACTTTTTGGTATCATATGTATGGGAGAGACATGGGTTCGTTATTTGTTAACCTCGTGAAAAATGGAATAGCCTGGAAAATTGCAACTCTGAAAGGCGAACAAGGAAATGTATGGAAACAAAAGAAAGTTTTTTTGCAGGCTCCGGCTGGTGGGAAGGTAAGTAAAAACACTCAACGATGTACCTACATCATGTTATATTTTCTAAAGAATTAATAAATTTTATTTTACAAAATAAAATCCATTCATTCTTTAGAAATTACTTTGTTTACGTTTCATGCATGAAACTGAACAGATGTGCGCTATGAGAAAAATCTGAACGAGTGAATGTGCTTTAAAGGTAACAAGGAACCTTACTTTATAGGGAATCTCTTCGTAGCCGAGCCGTAAAAGCACGCCGGATCAGACGGTGGTTTCTCCTGCAAAGGGGGACGCAAGTTCGAATCCTGCTGGAGGGCGACATTTCCTTTATTAAGTTTTCTCGTGTATGACCGGCCGACAGACGAAATAAATACTGTTTAAAATAAACGGTGCGTCTACTTAAATACGGATATCCATTAAAAATAACATTGGAAATAATAAATAAATCATGTATGAAAAGAGAAAAAATAAGCCGCGAGCAGGTTGTAAAAAATTGTATTTGTACGCACGTATGTAATATAGATGCGTATGTCTATGTCGTCAGGTTTATAATATTGAATGTCATTGGTCTAAAAATTGGCTTAAATGAAACCGTTAAATCCATTCTTTACTTTATCGAATGGTTCACTTCGCTGAAAAAATAGGTACCGCCAATAACTCGCCGAGCAAAAAAGCCTAGCCTGATGAAGAAGCCTAAGACTTGATAAAAGTTTTATCATCAAAATGTTTATGTCGATACGGAGAGAAAAGAGCCAAAAATTTAACAAATTAACAAATTCGTTTTACTCAAGATATTTAAATATAACTGAACCGATTTCTAGCGCAAGAGATAATGTGCAGACAACTTATTTGTATATTTGTAAAATAAAACAAAATAATAGATAACGCTGTACAAATTGTTGCCAGACAAGGGAAGCGACTCTGTTCATCCTTGTGCCAGATGAACAATGATTATGAAATGAGTTGCGCCCCTTGTTAATGAAATGTCATATCTCCTATGTAATAAGTTTTTTCTTTTCTTTTCATTGAAAAACTAAGCCTTGAAGAAAAGAGAAGGTGGATAAATATTTTATAACGTTTGCTACATATTGCACCCCACTCCACAGGCGATAGGGATAAAATGAGCTAGGAACTTTTGCCTTTTTATTTTTGTTAGATGTAACTTAAAAGGTAGAGAATTGTATATAAATCCTTTGTGTTGAAGATCCCTCCCTTTTTATTACGTGGAATTATCTTCAACTGTAAAAGTAGAGAAAAAAAAAAAAAAAAAAAAAAAAGAAGGAATCTGACAAAGATGCGTATTCTCATCAAATTTATTTAACCTATACAGAAATATAATTTTAAGAGATCTAAAAGAGCTGACAGGATTTCATATCGGGAGACATAATCTTCACAACGTAAGATATGCGTATGACACTTTGAAGGTAGCAGAATCAGAAAAAAAAAACTTAAAGAAATTATAGCCAAAATTGTAAAGGAAAGCAAGAAGAAAGGACTAACTATTAACTGTATCAAGATAGAGTTCATGGTCATCAGTGAAAGATACAATCCAAGATCTGAGCTGCGTATTGAGAACGTCAACATCAAGCAGGCAGAGAAATAGTAGTGTAGTATAAAGAAGTCCAAAGATTCACTAGAATAGCTAAAAATGTGCATAAACTGAGCAAAGTGTTTTGCAGGATTGCTGGTATATTTGGGTAAATATTAGTCACTATTATGTTACGGTGATCAACTCTTTGGAGAGTAAATATTTACGGCACCCTGGAAAATTTGTCCCACAAACAATATTGACGGACTCAATGTAAGTCCCCCACCCAAAAAAAATTAGTAAGACAGAACAATAAATATAAAAACAAATGACAATATATGTGACGAAAGGGGAAAAACATGAAAATAGCTATAATAAGAAGTTTCTTGTTTGTGTGTGCATGCATAATAAGTGTGTGTGAGAGAATACAAAAGTCAAGAGAGAAAACCATGAAAATGAACGTCTCCCAGTGGGGGTGGGTGGGACACTTTTTATCTACGTGCGACTACATCTGAAGGTCAGGGATAAAAGGCTGTAAAAGGGGGCTATAGGGAGAGAAATGCACAACTTTTTATAGGTTTAAGGAGCGCCTCCTAGCGACGTTTTCATTTTCAATGTCAAGTGAGATAACCCACTGTGTTGAGAAGATATAGGTAAATTTCGTTAGAAACAAAGAGAATACTGCTGATATATCCAATCGCAGTGAATTCTCGACATTCTGTTTATGCGTGAAGAAACTTGAAGCGTCAGACATGTGGTTCGACGTATACTGAGAATATCATGGACGTAACATGTGAGCAATTGGGAAATTTTAAGAAAAATAGGAAGTATAAGGAAACTTATAGTTACATCCAGAAAGCGACAACGGAAATTTATGGCGGGCATAACGGAGTGAGGAATCGAACACTCATACTGAAGTCAAAAGAAGAAGTAATTGACAGATACACCCAACTGACACAGCTCACTTACAGACAGTACTAGAACGTGTCTAAATAGATGTACTTGCTATGATTCATGATAATGATGATATTTCATCATTCTAGATTCATCTAAAATGTCATCATTCTAAAAACGACCATTCCAGCACAAGAAGTAGTAGCAGTAGTAAAAAGAACACACACTGGACAAGACGTATCTTCTTCGCTCCGTGAAAATCCAGCGTTGACGGTTTCAAAATCTCCCCTTAAACACGAAATTCTCCGAACAATTATAAACAAGTTAGCCCAAACTTTAAAGAATTAAAAAAAATCAATAACCCCGAGAACATTTAACACATACAAAACCAATATTGTAAATAACATTACGAAAAGAAAAATACACATTCTTGTCATTAATTTCAATCCATGTCTCAAAGTCTTATTGTTGTATGTTATTGTACTGTACTGTACTGATGCGGCATTCACCCTGGGCGGATTGAGCCGGCTTCTTCCTGTTATGAGAAGAAGATTCTTGGGATAAATTACAGAAGTAGGGCACCCAGGCCTACTCGGATAACGTTCTTGCTTGCCGCAGGGTTCCCACAGACGCAGAGACAGGAACGACCAGAAGCCGCCGGTTACCAATGCAGACGCTCCTTGGATTTTCACCAGAGCCCTTGTTAGCCGGCGTGTGTGTCAGACCTGTCCGCATTGGGGGCCCTACCAGGAACGAAGTTCCGGGCGGCATAGTTTGACACTACTGTTTACCCCCCACCGACTGTGAGGTAAGGGTTGCTTACGGTCAAATCACGCTGAAAACACCGTTTCTCGTTCGATCACCGAAGTTAAGCATCGTAGAGCCAGGTCAGTACTTAGATGGGGGACCGCTTGGGAACACCTGGTACTGTAAGCCCCCAAAGTCCAACCCCCTATGTTATTGTACGCTTTATTCATTTCATTTTCGGTATAAAAAGAGAAAAGGAATCCTCTATCAACTACTAATGCATGTAACACGGGGTAACTTACATTAACAACTTAATAACGACCCCATTACAACGGCCCCAACCTCTGTAAATGGAACATCTAGTAGCCATCATTATTCCGATAATGAGACGTTATTAGGTAATTGTCTCTAATCTTATAGAACATCAGATTATTAGAAATCCATATCGAGGATTTTCTTAACATTTTGTAGCATATAGTACGCGTGCGCAAACGAATGCGCAGATGAATACGCAGATGAATGCGCAAAATGTATCACCTAATTTGAAAATCTTTGATTTAAAAATATATTTTCATTTCTTTATTTCAGATCGAATTTGAAGGAATTGCCGGTGTGATGTACCGAAGCGATATAGCTGTTGACGATGTTTTGCTTTCGCCTGGAAAGTGTTAATATGTATAAAAACGTTATAATAAAATTATAAAGGGAAGTTGTTATGTTTTTAATTAGAAATGTTTTAAAATAGTTGTTGTGGTGATAATGAAACTAAATGGAATAGTAAAACTTCTTTAGACGACAATTTATTAAGTCTAAGTTGTGGTCAGATGATACAGTGAATTACCAATAGATGTCAGTTTGGTTAGAAGAGAAAAGAATTAATTAAGAAGGATGTCTATTGAAAGTGTACTGATTTCACAATTCGTTACGGTCAATCTCAAACCGGGCTCATGTGTAATATAACTAATCATCACAAAAGCAATGGTAGCACAATGAAATAATAGAAAAAAAAACACCCCCTTCCCCAGATCTACTTATCGTGGACTAATTTCAAATCCAGAAAGCGTTAATGGCTTCAGTACGAAAGAAAATCAGTACGAATAAAAAAGAATACTTTCTGATCGTAGAATCTGATAAGGTTTTTTTTTTATTAACACTTCGTAAAACATTCTATCGCACTTTCCTTATACACGGAGTTTGTCTTTCCTTCCGATCTGAGGACGCCTGCTAGACGGAGGCGAAATGCGTTGTCGGTAAAAGCTTTTCCACTTTCTCCCATTATCTCCATTTTTGTTCGCATATTACTATTATTATTTTGCGAAAATCCAATATCTGTTATTTTGGCCATATGAAAATCTATTAATTTTTTGAAACTATTTGAATAGAGACGGAGGCCGTATACACATCTTTACCATTCCATTTCTCACACTAACGAGTGTCTGTAAACAGCCACACCAATTATATTTTTGAGAAATTAGTAAATGATAATCATTGAACCATGTAGAGAAATGCTACCACCTCAGACCAGAGATTAACATAGAAATAACCATCAAGACTCTCAAGTTATATATCTTGATATCCTTCTGAAAAGTTCACCGATATTGGCTACGCAGATGACCTAGCTATCACTTCAGACACAATTACCAATGTCACAGTTCTCCTACATCATTTAGAAAATACTGCCAGCAATGTTGGACTTAATGTCAATACCTCTAAAACTGAATTCATAGGTTTCAAGCAGCAAGGCTCAATACAAACTGTCTCAGGTAAATCAATAAAATCTGTTGAATCTTTTACATACCTAGGAAGTGAAATAAATTCTACGAAAAAGAATGTGAAAATTCGCATAGATAAAGCCTGGGGTGCCTTGGTTAAAATGGATGTAATCTGGAAATCTGATCTACCAGACAACCTCAGAGATTCTTTCGACCCACTGTAGAGGCGGTTTTAATGTATGGCGCCACTGTTTGGACATTAACTAAAACTCTTGAGTCTAAGATTGATGGAACCGCTGTTAACCAAATAATTTTGAACTTTTCACTTGTATCATTATAGGAATTATTATATCTATATCTATCTATATATATATGTATATCAATATATATATATATATATATATATATATACTGAGCCTTTGATGGTAACTGGTCTAGAAGAAGGACAAAACCTGCCCGGGGGAGGGGGGTCGTTTGGGGACCTTGTCGCCCGTAATGCACCAGATTTCTGTATTCATCACTTCAAAATGTCTGGTTGGTTCTGCACAAAGCCTTCACTACTATAATCAAATCATATGTGCTGGTGTCTGACTGTCGGTTCCTAGGAATTGATCTGCTTGACCCTTATACGTCAAATACGACGGGAGAGTCCACTATATATATATATATATATATATATATATATATATAATTTTTATCGATACAATATATTTAAGTAAATGCTCTGTTTTTAATTAACAGTATTAATTACATTTACCGGCCTGAATGTTCGAGAAATTTCGTAGAAAATATTTGTTCTCGGACAGGAATCGAACCAGTATTCCTATACGGAAAACGTCATTTGACCTAACGTGCTGTACTATTCAGTTACAAAGAAGCGCTTGGTTAACAAAGTCCGAATTACTGTTTATAAACACACAATCTTCGACGATTTTTCTCGATCGATCATTTTCTGCTTTTCTTAACGTAAACATTGACAACTTATAATGAAATAGATTTGAAGTAAAATAATTATTTAATATATTTTCTTTATAATAATAAAAAATTTAAATAGTTAAATAGCTAAAATAAAATAAAATAATTAAATAATTATATGATAATATATAAATTTTATAATAATAAAATAAAAAATAATATAAAAATGTCAGACGTTCGGATTTAAAAAATCTTGCATCAGAAGTAAAATAAAAAATAACGTCTGATTTTGTTTTAATCAGCTGCTTATAAAGAACAAATATATGACGTTTATCAATCTAACATGTTTCACTTTTATTAAAGCTTCATCAGAGAATAAGATATGGAGAAAAAAAAGAAAGAAATTCTTGTATTTTTTTTTTTACTTTTGTGTTGTTTGATTTTCATTGATTAATCAGGTTTCACGTGCATTCGACTTGTTAAACAAACGTTAGTATCATTTGTGGCTTTCCGAATTCAAGAAGAGACGACGCGTCCTTTCGAAGTTTCAAGAAATTAGCGTTCTTTATTCTAACATTCTATCGGATTCCGATCCATATTTGATCCCAATATAGATTAAATAAAGTATATAGGATTTCTGATCACGAAAAGATTCCATGGGTTAACATTTGAGATCAGGAAACAAGAAAATGTATTTGTTTAGATTTCTGGTAATATTTTCGTTCCACATACATTTTTCATAGGATCGGAATAATTTTCGGAGGGTATTCCTTTAGTTTTGTATCTGGAAAACTTTAGACTGGACGTTTAAAAAATGTTATTATAATATGAAGCAAAGTAAAGAAATCTACGGATGGTAATTTCATATTGACAATCAGAAATTTATTTCGAACGTGAAGTACGACCATACCGGTTTCTTCCATCTTGTTTCCGGTGTAATTAATCGAATTAATATAAATAAGTACCTACTAAGATTCGCTAAAAATGAGCAATCATGATGTAAAAATACTCCATAATTAGTAAATTTTATCATCAAAATTTTTGCGTTATTATTAAGCTGAAATATCAAAGGATTTTTTTTATGTAAATTATTTGGCTTTTTTTTTTCAGAGACACTTTCATATGCATAGGGAATAAAAATTATTTATTACAAATTAATCCTATTATGAGAGATTAAAACTCAGCATGGATTTAAGCCGGACACAGCCTGGCACCAGTGTCGTGGTAGAATGGAGTTTGATTTTTTATAACTAATAATTAATCGACTTAATATAAAATAAGTACCTAGAAAGATTCGCTAAAAAATGAGCAATCATGATGTAAAAAATACTCCTTAATAAATTTTATCATCAAAATTTTTGCGTTATTATTAAACGGAAAGATCAAAGGATATTTTATGTAAAAAAAAAATCTTTTTAATTCTTTTTAGAATGTTCGAATGTAGAATCATAAATTAGTGCAGTAAATTTTTGGGTCTTTTTTTCGGTGAAAAACACATTGATTTGGAAATATTTGCAATTATCTAATGTTAATTTAACTTTCAGAACTTATTCACAAATGAATGAAATTATTTTTGAAAATTTCTCTTTTAGAAAAACTTGGTGAAAATATTATTTGTTTGCATCTGATTCAATTTTATGAAATCTAGAGAAATTCTTTTTTTGTAGGGCTTAATAATTAAGTCCTCGTAGAATTTAAATCAGTTATTTATTTGGGTCAGACACCACCCCCAGTTATAGAAAATCTGCTCTGAATCGTAAAAAAAAAATACAAATAAATGGAGTAAAACTAAGACATTATTTGATTAAAAAGGCTTTTAATTGCTGTTATGAATAATATATATTATGAATATTATTGTCTTACGAACAAAAATTATTTTCAGTGAATAATGAATTTTTTGACTTTTAAAAATTTTAATTAGAATATTTTATAAACTTTTAAGTCTTTTAAAATTCTGCATTAGTTTGGAACGGCTAAATGATATTATTATTAATTAAAAAAAAATCTATATTTATTGATCATAAACGGAAAGTATACCAAAATCCAGTATTTTAAAAAGAATTTTGAATTTTTTTTTCTGTGTATAATCGTGCCAATGTTTGTAAATACGGACGTCCAAACACGACATTATACACAAATAAGAGCGGTACCCCTAATAAATTTAAAATTTATTAGTAATTTTCAAACATTTCCTGAACAAGCGTCTTCGTAAGTAAGACTGTAAAGTCAAAGTACATAAAATTCAATAAAATATTAATTTTTTTTAGTATTAGTAGTTAAAAAATTTATAAAAAAAGGTGTTTAGGTTTATATTCATGTAATTTTATTACAATTACCTCCCATTATTATAAATCAGCCAAACCTTAGGTTGTCGATGAATGTGTCAAGACCTCATAAAAACACCTACTTCCGTGTTCTTTCTTTCTATGTGCCGTGTCCTTTCAGGACTTAGGCGATTATGGCTCTCCACCTCCCTCTATCCCTTGCAGCTCTCACTTCCTTCCCTCTGCCACCCCCCAGACCACGTTCTGTCATCCACTTGCTTAAAGCCGCTAGTTATGTCATGCGTTGTTTTCCCTTGTCTCTCTTTCCCTCTATTCGACCCGTGAATACCAGATTCTCCAGATTCGTCATTATTGTTAGACATTTTCATGACGGTCGTCCTCGAGTATAGAATCCAGAGGTTGGCAGTGAATATTTCGGAGATAGTAGGAAAGCGTAGTGCAGGTTCGTAGTGGATATCGTAGCAGAGCGTAGTTCTTCCTTCTGTCGTTTTAGCCTGACAAGTTGGCTCTGGTCATTCCGGTAGAGATGGCCGCCTTTATACACGACGGATACAGTGTTCTGCGGCTCCTGATTGGTTAATCTTCTATTGGTAGACTATAAAGGGAAATATGTCACTTTGACTCGCTCACTAGTTACATACAGTATATACCCCCCAAAAAAAAACCGTAACAATTATGTGTCCCAGAAACTCCAGCTGTCTCTTTCTGATATTATGTATAAGCCTCCTCCTTGTTTGCATCCCCTCTAATGCTTCATTGT